ATTGCTCTTGTGCTTTGGCGGCCGTCATTCCACGCTCCGTCGCTGGCGCAGATGAGAATGAATACTCCTTTGAATCTTTTACGTGCAGTGCCTTCTACCGAGGAGATATAAGATATTGAAGTCCAGCCCAAACTCGTACCACCGACGTTCCGTAGCCGATAGTTCTCAAGTCAATTTTGTGTATCGAAGCGTAGTCGCTTTTTTGATATGCGAAGAATCATCCTTCAGCACTTTCTCTGGAATTAACTCGCTTAACAGATCTGCAAGCTTGAGCTTCTTCACCAACATGCGGCATGATTTCGTAGCTTACGGCTAAAATTGTTGCCCGGACTCTGCTGCACCTGGCTCACATTGACCATTATCACAGGTTTCTTCAGCTCCGTGACGTACTCTCCGGCGACGGATGCCGTGAATTATAGCGATGAGAGCTTCCTTTTGATACACAAATAATTAGCATGTCTTGGGCCTCGTGAAATGACTTAAACGTATTCCACACCGTCTTCATGCTAGTGCCTTTACTGCGTGCATCAGCTAATAATTGCTGCGATTGAACAATCGCCGCGTGCACTTGCTACTCTTTCATCATAGATACGCTGTCTATTTCACCGATCGTCTCCCGCAACCGCTTTCAGCATCGATAGAATCTTCAGCAAATAAATCTGTAGAACGTAGTTGGATTCGATAAAAGGATCGATTGTCGTTACTTGGGCTCATATCTCAAAAATGTTGAGCGCGGTGGGGCTACTAGAATGGTACTGTTGTCGAAATGGCGAAACAAAGAGTGGGCTATATTTGCAAAGCTGAGAGTTCTGACTATAATTCATTCCTCCTTCGTCCCTATGTTTTAGTAATTATGTGCTGAACATACTTCGCTAGTCACTACACGTTATCATGTGCAACATAAAAGGTGATTGGGTTGTGGGGCCATTACTTGGGGAAGATAATTCCCGATGAACCAGAAAAACAGCTCACAATGGCCAGTTGCAGAAAACTTACGATCAGAATTGAGCTTACACCCAATCGATTACACTTCACATGCCCCAATGTGCTGTTGGGGGGGTCTCTCCAGGTGCAGTGGTTTAGCTTAAAGCCGTTGATCGAGGGGTTACCGGTTCAAATCACTACAAGAACAAGCTTTATTATACAACTTGAAAAAAAGTAATTTTCTTACTTAAATAATGTCACAAATAGCCTACAATTGGACTTTGGGTTGGGGGCTAGTAAGAGAAAAAATTATCAAAAAATATTCCAACGAACTGAAGCATGCAATAACTTCTTAATTTGCTGGCTATCCCACAAGTCAACTAACCAAAAGAATTCTCCCGCCCCGAGCCCTCCGCTCCGGTAATTACACCCTTTCCTTCATGAAGATGATGAATCCAGCTGCTTTTACCTCCCCATTTCCTACCGATCAGCCCCCTTCGTCAGTAATTGGCTTGACTTCTGGGTTCGCGCCCAATTTCCAGTCAGGTACCACGATCAAACCCTAGGGTTCCCGCGCTGGCCTTGTACCTTCCACCGGCTCATCGCCAGGTACATACCAGACTACGCCGTCGCACCCTCCCTTCCCCCGTCACCTCCGACGTCCGAGTTTCCCGCTTTGCCGTCCGGTGTGCCTGCTGATGCGGTCGACACGATGGTGAGCTCATAGTCTCAACCCCAAATGTTGCAGACTCGTTCGCTGACGCTGCTGCTGCTTCAGACGACGAGTCGGTCGATCTTACACAGCCTTCCATCAATGCTTCCCCGCTTCCAAGCGTCGACACACGTCCGACGATGGCGGAAGTGTTACGAGACGAGTCGACGCGATAACGCTGAAGCTGAAGCTGCGCGGCGGCGTGTGGAGGCCTCGAAGCCACTTGCTTGTGACATCGAAGCAATCGAGCGCCAGCACGCCGCTGGTGGTGATTGGTCTTTCATCTCGACTCGCATGAAGCGCGACTGTATGAGCTTCCGCGCGCCAAATACGACGTGGTGATCGACACTAGTCAGGTGCTTGCCAAGGCTCCGCTCCAGAAGATCATGGTTTCGCTGGCTGGGAAGCATCATGGTAACGACGTTTTCGAGCCGCCGTACGGCGAGTTTGCGATCGGGCAAGTATCGAGACTCCCCGGTGGTAACCTGCGCGTGAAAGGGAAGACTAAAGAAGCTATTTTGAAGCTGGAGCGCACGAAGGTCAACATCCTTAGTTGTGTATTCGTGTCCAAGGAGCTCGACGTACTTAGTATACTTGGTACAAGTACTTCATCGATATCGCGAATGTTGACTCGGACACCAGCACGGACGTGATCCTCCACCGGTTGTTTTTGTTGAGATGCAAGCCGGTGTATGACTCGTTCCGAGAAATAAACCTCATGACGGGTATCACGTCTGCAACCTGACGCATCTACACCCTACCAGTACATGCCTAAGCGCGTTGATGGCAAATGGGTCGGTGTGTGACCAGATCCAGCTCGATAGCAAGTTGCATCCGGCGTATGGCAAAAATGCTTCGTTCTAGTCAGAACTCTGCCATTCGGCTACCGCTCGCACCACGGCGTCGACCTTGTGACGACTGACAACGAGCATCTCACCCAGCGTGTCCCAGTGAATCAACTTCATGGCTGCCGCAGCATCACGTCTACCAGTACGTTCGCGCGAGCAGACAAAGCTCCACAGAAGCAAATTTTGATTCAGAAGGCGGTCAAGGAAAGCTGGATGGTCAGTCCAGAGCGGAGCACAGCAACAAAATTCTTGCTCCCGAGAGCCTGTAGCAGCGTATGTGGTGCGGACCAACTCCGTCACTGACAACGTCACCGTCCTGACATAAGCAAGCTCATGAACCGGTCTGCGTGACAAAGCATCAGCCAAAGCATTCCGGCTTACACTTCACCTCGAAGATATATTCTGCAAAAAATGAGAGCCACCTGGCCATTTTCTGCGAGAGATGAGGTGACTGAATCGCAGCGCATAGTGACGCATGATCTGTGTAGATCACAAACGGCTTTGAGCCGAGCAGGTGAACTTTGAACTTGGCAAGTGCATTTTTCATTAAAATTTATTCCTTGTCGTGGACTGGGTAATTCCTCCTCGCATCCTTAAGCTGGCGAGATTCGAACGCGATCACCCTTCTCGCCCCTCGGTGTCTGCTTGCAGCAGTTCACAGCCGATGGCGAAGTCTGAAGCATCACAGACGACACTAAAAGGACGATCAAGGTCCGGCAATGTCATTATTGGTGCATGAAGGAGGCTGTATTTGAACCTGTTTAAAGCCTCCTTCTGCTCGGTGTCCCAATACTATTTTTTATCCTTCTTAAGGATATTAGACAAAGGCCGTGCCGTTTCCATGTATATTGTGATTTGCTTGTGCAAACAATTGGCGAGGCCAAGCCACTCGCACAAATCTATTTGGATCTTTGAGGCCGGCTAGTCCACAATAGCCGTGACCTTAGCGGGGTCTACTGGAAAGCCACGCTTCCCGATGGAGAATTCAAAAGGGGATTTCTCTGGCGCCGATGGTGCACTTATCGGCAATAGCATACAGCTTATCCGTGCGCATACGCTTCAGCACCGCTCTGAAATAGACAACGTGGTTTTCTTCATCTGTCCTCCCGTGCTCCGCATGACTGTGGACAAAGATGTCGTCAAATATGGCTGTGTATGCGCCCGGTGGGGCCTGAATAACTCGTCACAAGATGATTAAATGCTGATGGCGCATTTGACAACCCTTCAGGCATCACCAGCCCTCCCATCGCATGCCGCTCGGAGCACTCACTGCTGTCAGCGGAATATCACTCGCTCTCATAAGCAGTTGGTAATAACTATTGACCATGTCGAATGCAATATACTTTGTACATTTAACCGTATTGTTAACATCCTTCCTAGGAATCGGCCTCTGGTGGCAGCGTTGACCATATTGTAAGCATAAACTATACAGTTCGTATTTCAGACACAAAACGTGGGTGTCGAATGGGAAGATTTGCTCTCACGCCCCATCCCTGCGTTGTGCTTCGCACGGAAAAAGGCGTCAATGACGTCGCACCACTCCTTTAACAGGGGTCATTGGTGTGTTACGCAGTATTTGGTTCCCGGAACCAGGTCGATCTCATGACGCAGACCTCGGTCCGGAGGTAGGACCGAAGGCGATTCTTTGGAGATGACGTCTTGAAATTCCTTTACCATAGGATATTACGGATCCAAGGGATCCCGTAGGATCGACAATACACTTCGTGCGTTCAACACTCTCTTGGTGTCCTCCAAGTCAGCTTCACCCAGAAGCGATGACGAGTTTATCTCCTCGTTCGGTCTTATAATGACCACCTCGGCGAAATTGCCTGCTTTTAAGGCACCGCCAAACCCTTCGAAGGACATCTCTACACCGGAGGAATAGCTTCGAGGGTGACGTTGCCGTCTCTCTCCCCCGTCATACTACTGGCAAGGGTATATAGCTGTGCGCCATCGTCTAAGGTAGATACACCCTGGTTCAGGATCGACGCCCTGCGTCTTGCAGATAATATACAATATCGCCGTCCTCTCTCGGCGAGTGTCCACGTCTCGTCAGGAACAGTGGGAACACGCACTCTGCGTCGTCCAGTGTCCACCCCCTGCTTCATCGATGCCTCGATGTTATTAACAAACTTCGACTAAGAGCTGCTTTTTCCGCAGTCTTCGTCTAGTGGATAACATGCCACTCAGAGCGCAATAAAAATGCCTAGCCAATAATGCCTTGGACCTCGTCCGACCATGCCACTCTTGGTATGGCGCAACTGCTTCGAAACGTAGGCAGTGCTCAGTAAATTACGCGTCACCCCACGTTCAGCTGAATAGCCATGCTCGGGACTCTTGTCCGATACCTCCGGTGTTCGACAACTCGGACACTTATATTGACCGTCCGGGTCCAGTGCTCACACCAATAGCGCCTCCGCTTCCTAGCAGGGGTGGGTTCATGACTCACCTAAGCATCACCAGGAGGTGTGCGCGTAGCGCCCAAGGTCTTCGACCTCCAATCGATCCATGGCTCATGGCGTTCCAACCATGCCATATAAAGGATAAGCTCATGCCTTGTATACAAGTCTAAGAATAATTGGCGTTCCACACTATCAAAGTCAAAGAACTTGACACCGAGGTCCACATGGATCCTCGGCACAGTGACACAAGTTCCCGTCGCTAAGCGAACAGTGACGGAGTCATTCAACCGCGCTATCAGCACCTCATCATACAGTGGCCTTTCTTCGATCGTGAAATGTCGAGCGATATTTCCCGACGCCACGGAGCCGATCGGGATCTTCCATGGCTAATCAAAGCTCTTCACGGCTGCTTTCATGACCAACAAGCCCGGCTTGCATACACGCTCCGTGTTCAAGAGTACGAAGCACTTCGGGGCTGGACCCTGCTGCCATTTACCTTTTGAGGCTCAACAGAACTCATGTTTTTCCCAGTCGGGCACCCGCCTACTGGGATTTGTCGTTTCCCTGCGACAAACCAGACTGATTAGAAGCGGGACGTCGGTTCGATGAATCTTTAGACCCCTTGCGCCGGGTACAACCAGTCCGAATGTGACGGGTGTCTCCACAGACAAAACACCGTCGGGTGTTTAAACACTTCCCGGCGGCTTAGGGCTCTCCCTCCTCTTTCTCAGCATAGCTGATATTCATTAGCTCGAGCCCGCTCAATTAACACTGAGGGTGTGCATTTCATCCAAGTCGTGCCGACTTAAAGTTGAGTTCGTGCATTCCAACCAAGTCATGCCGACTTAAAGTTGAATTCGGCATTCAACACCACATTCCCTGCTTCTTCAAAAGAAAACAGATATACAAGATGACTTTTATTCTGGCCACGCCAGTGCGGAGGCCCACCATAACGACGGCCACTGCGCCTGCCTCGGGGAGAGGGTCTGCTGCCATCTCGAAAAAAAAGAGTTCTCAACTCTTAGGCAAAGTCCACCAAGTAAGGAAACACGATCGCACGCGTTATGCCTGATTTGCGGTGAGAACACTCGCAAAAACTGCAGTTTCAGCTCTATCCAGGAGGGGAACGCAGCTTTCGCGGCACTCAGTGCACATTCTCGCGCTCGCCCCCGAGTTAGAAGGTAGCTAGCGCCACGCGCTGTTGGTCGTTCTGGAGCATGGCAGATACCATAGTCATCTCGGCCTTTCTCACCTAGAGCATGACTTTCTCTCCATCATCACCCTCAAAGATCGTAACCCTCACCATGAGCGGCCTGGTTCGAGAGGAATCATCCGTCGTTGACGGTGTCGTCATGACGCTGTCGACACCGACGTTTTCTTCTCAATGTACTCCAGCAGAGCATTTTTATAGCTCGAAAACGCCTCTGGGTGCGCGGTTATCGCTCAGGTTCTTGCTATTCAAGGTGTCCCACGCTCTCAGGGCCAAGCAGGGACATCAGCTTATAAAGTCCGTCCTGGATGCCCTGGGGCAAATAGATGAATTGTTCCATCGTCATAGAGGATCAGTCGTCACGACTCAGGCGTAGATTGACCAGCAAAAGCTACCAAGTGCAGCGGGGCTGTCGTAGCTCTTTGCTTTGAGGAATCCAAGCTAAGTTCACCGACCTTACGTTCTTTACACCAGTACGAGTGTAGCGGATCGCAATTCACTAGTACCCCAAATCTGAACCCAAGGCAAATGTACTCTTCCGTGCAAAACTGAAGTTGTTCTTATTTGTTTTATTGCGGCAGAACCTCCTATATCTAAAACGATAAATTTATCTATTTACTTTGTAAAACGCATAACTACTGGCAGTTTCGTCATGTAGTGGCTTCTTTGTTACAGTGTAGCCACACGATTTTGTGATTACATTGTCTTATGTAATCCACACCTAACTACGGTCACACCATCTTGTGTGACGCACCCATTCATACCAGGGTGCGCGTGATCACATGTGTTATGACAATTAATATTCGGTACGATTGACTGGCTTCACGCAATGCATAATTCTCAAATCCTGGTTCAAGGTCATACAATCGTCCTATCTCGGCTTAGCAGAGGTACAAAGTAGAGACCACGACAAACAATTGCTCTTTTCGTCTCATCTAAAGACATCGGCTCACTGCCACTTATGCCTTCCAAGTTCTGCTTAAGGCGCCTATCAACAACTTTGCTATCAAGTTTGAGAAAAAATATTTTCTGCTCAGCGCTTCTGCATCCCAGAAGAATAAAAAGAGGTGGCATCGTGATCTGCCATGCATTAATCAGGAATGAAGTATGTGGCGCTTATCGCTTCTGTTATATAGCTAAGCGATATCGAGAATGTTCGGACCTCAAGCATAAGTCTAAAAGTCAATTACGCTGCACGTTTTTGAAGTCTTCAAACTTCATATAAAGATCCAATACAATCTTTGACATTTTGAACAATTTCCACTTCGCAAGACGCATCCATGCCTTCGCGTATTGTTTGATGTTTTCAAAGTCGCGCGTCATACGTAATTGCACGCCGCCTCCAAATCTATTATTTATATTGATGACGCACAATATGTTGATATTATCCTATGCTTTGTGGTCCACCAAAATTCCATCGTCTCATATTTTCCCATCTTTGCCTAGTTGGACATCGACAGAACCGATTTGACCAAGAAGCGCGACTACGTTTTAAAAAGCCAAGGACATCATAAAATTCCCGACCGGTGAGCGCATTGGCTACTTATCGTTGCATACACAGAGTTAATTTGTCGGTTTGCAGCTTTTATCGACATGTTTCAGATGACATGATAGAAATCTTCGTCACGAGTGTTACGAATCTTATGTAAGGTCTTGTACGTCATGTCAGGGCTCCTCACATGACCAGTATGTTCCTGTCGACTCTTGTGTGTACACATTGAGGGTCCAATGAAAACAAACTAGCTTGGATGCTAGATACGCAGTATAAAAAATTCCGTCGATCAGGCATGTCCTGTTTGGCAAAAGTCATTGCTGGACGCTTCTGACGCTACCCGAGCACAAATCAAGAAAATTATTTCGACCGATTAGCTCACCTCGTTGTGAGATCCGAGACGAGCTGCAGCAGCGAAGGGTGCAAGAAGCTTGGAAACCTGATGGATTTGAGATCATGCAAAACACTACTGTTGTCCACAAGTTGGAGCGACCAAGAAGTCGCTGAGGTCCATGGATTTTCAGGATTAAACACACTTTTGATGGTGTTATATCAAGCGGTAAGGAAGCATCAACAGGCAATGAGCTCACTTGAAGCCATTAGCTCCAACCTGTAAACTTATAATACATGAACAACAGTGCTGCCGAGGTCTCAGATTATTTATTTTCTATTCAACAGCCCTTACCTCTGTCAGAACCATCATCAATATCTTCGATAACAAATTTAATTCTTAGCTCTTGTCGAATCAAATTCTGTCCGGCACCTAAATATGATAGCGGGTTCGCTCGCTTGCGTAGACGCCAAGAACAGCTCGCTGACGAATAGATGGGGCCACAGTCGCGTGCATTATATTATGATCTTATCAAAATTTTTGGTCGTCCACGATCTTCTTAACTTTAAAAGTATGACCACATCGAAATGAACAGGTCGAATAGCAATCGAAAGATGCTGTTACTTTGTGGAATCGTCAGTTCATCACGCAGCATAGGCTCAATACTTGTGGCTCATAAGATTAATTCTATTTTCAAGCTGCCGCGTAAATCCATGTATGAGGGCCTGTTCGAGAACTTCACGGCGCAAATCAAACAGATCTGCTACTCCGACATCAATGCTGACTTGATTTTATTACCGTCTGCGAAAGGCTTTGATCTGTCAGCCATCGTCATACTATGTTTTCCGCCATGGAGTAAAGTTTTCTATTATCATAGCTGATGTTATATAAACTCAAACAAAGCTGAATTTGAAATGTGGGCGACTCATCAGCCCCTTCCTCGATGAGATGTAATCAGTGTGCGTTGTCAACTACATCAAGCATGGGCAGACACTCCGTCGTTTGTTTTTTTTAAGGTGATCACTGACATGAGTATGCGATGGCGACAATCAGAATAGAAAAATTTGCAGCCACAAATTCTGGAGGCATACCTGCCAACACCATGATTGATCACGATGTCAAAGAAAGCGAATGTGCATTGTTGCGGAACAATTACCAGTATACGATCGACATCAATGCTGAAGTAGCTAGAAGGATTCTAAATTTGTCGATGACACAAAACATGTTTTGTAAAGCTTACAATCCCGATGCCTTATGGGTATATTTGAAGTACGCTTGCCTCTCGAAACCAAAATACCATCCAACGTTGACCGTCTGCACAATAAATGTTGATGGTCTCCTTCACCAACTGTTGATCTAGTGATGGATTTGCTTGATGAGAATCTATCTTGACAATAATAGTAATTCATCATTGACGACCCCCTCGCTACAAGTTCATGAAGTTTACGAATAAATAATCTCGTTACTATTGCGTGATAAACATTCTCGACGATAAATCTCATTTTTTTAAAACGAAATTTTGCTTCGCCTATATTTTCTTTCATCCCAGAATGTTTGAGCTACTTCCTATTAAGCTCAAATGCAGATCGTGATCTCAAATCTCGATGGTAAGAGTTTTAGCCATACACGGTATGTGTTTAAACAGAAGTAAAGAATAGCCAGCAAACAAAGTTGAATATTGAAGTCTAGCGATTGTTGAACATGCGGCAAGGAAAACAAATTTACTATTGGTCCGAGTTCCCTACTCTAACTTAGGTGCCCTTGATCATACAATACTTGTGACTTCATTTTACCATAACATTCATAGCGAAAACCCCAGCGACAAAGACCGTATGGTAGGTGCAACGCAATTGCCAACACAAATCCGTCAATTTATGACTATTCTTATACGGCTAGAATACGCCTATTCCTCCACCGTGCTTGTGTCTTACCTTATAATCTAGTCATATTTGGGCCAGATGTCAAAGAAGCGCATCTACAGCTGGATATAACTTGTGGATGACCTCAAATCATACCTTCCTATGCCTCCTCGTTACATCCATTGTCCTAAAACGCTAAGTCTCCATACTTCATTTTGAGCCCTTGAAGATGAAAGGCCGGTTCATCATCAACCCGTTTCAAGAACTCTACTTGACTGGATCTGATCGCACTAGTCTCGAAGACTTGGCAAATCAATGCATCACTTCAAACCTCCAGCTTTGCTCCAAGTACATGTATGGGTCGAGTCGTCAAGCGAATCCACAGCACTGGAAGCTGCTGAAGGAGAAGGAAAAGCTTAAGGTGTACACTGAGAGACCAGAGGGTGCAGTAGCTGCCGCTGCTTCAAATAAAGAGCCAACAGGATCCGGTCTACCCATGATTCTGTGCGTGGGGACTTTAGAAGGTAAATTGGAGGACCTGCTGTTTGGGGTAATCAGTGAAGATCTCGAAACAATGCGCATGAAGGTTTCGTACGTTGAGGACTTTAGCGGAGCAGCTGTTCTCGACGCTGTAGTCTTACCGACATTGGAGGACCCGTTTCAATCACTTATTGTCAAGTGGATGGAGGTCGACATTCCATTCCATTCTACTAATTTGGTAAAGAATCGCGACTACGTTTACCTCGAAGGCACAGGATACGTTACAAACGAAAAGGGCGAGCGGCTGGGGTATCAATTATTACACTCGGTTAGCTTTCCACAGACTCACGTATTACCAAATCGTGTGCGTGGTAATCTTTCGATCGTCGCTTTTTGGCGTCAAGTTAGCGCCAACACAATGGAAATGTATGCCACTGGCGTTATGGATCCAGCAGATAGCGGGTTGATCCGCAAGCTCGTGGTGGCCAATATGGCCAATGTGCTTCTTTCAAGCTTAAAATATACTTATTGTGGACAGATGCGCAAACTATCATTCATGCTTGAAAAGGCATACGTAGACTCCAAGGTGACTGGCACGCCCAACAAGAAAAATGTTTGTGTCACGTGCTTTTCACCTCTTACGAATCGCAAGCTTGGAGATTTTACAAAGAGTAATAGTACGTGTAAGCTCTGCTTTGGCTTCGTTTGCCACGCTTGTAAGATTACCCGAAAGTTGAGTTTCGTTGATCCGGATCTACTGCTGTCTCAGCGAAAAGTGACCTTTTGCTCAACGTGTATCAGTTCTGCAATGGATATGAGCTCTGTAGACTGTGCTCGAGCAATGATGCTCAAGAGCAATAGGATGAATCAAGTTAGTATCGACCACACACTCTCTTCGGACGGCAATAGTGGAGAGTACTCCTATACAAGTGTTCAGTAGATCTAATTTTTTTAAGCTGAGTTTCTGCATGTCTGTTAATCATACACTACTTGCACGCATATTGATATGCTGCTAATAAGTATTATTTTGTCTACATAATATTTAGATATTCGTCAGAGACGCAGGTAAGTATTGATGTATTGATGTGGGCAAGTAGCATAAATTGTCAAAACAAGTACATATAAAGCAATTGTTTATGAATAAAGACATACTAAAGACCCACTTATAGCAAACAACTAATTTAAGGCAGTGTTGATAGTTTTATTTGCTCGAGCACTTATCCGATAAGATAGCTATTTTTCTCCAACAGCTTCGATTCGTATTCTACTGCATACGTCTCGATTTAGTTGACGGCTGGCGATGAAAACTAGTATAGACAGTTGAGAAGTTTGCAAGCGGTGAATGCTTCACCCGAGATCTAACCCAATTTTGACTCAGCGAAACACGAAAGCTGACGCATCACTACAAAAGGATATGGAGGAGCGTTTGGATGTGGAGGAACAACGTGAAGCTTCACTTCCTAATGATGGAATAATCGACGACAAGAATGTCGTTGTGCTCCTGACCAACGAATTGACGCCAATACCGAACGTCACAAGTACTTTAATGGATAGCATTCATATCACCTTGACAGAAAGTAAGGAGTGGCAACAACTCTACGAGGCTGTAGTGATGTTGCGTCGTGTGATGGTATACCACAGTGAAGTGATTACAACGCATCACATTGAAAGTTTCGTACGTTTGCTTGCTGCGGAGAGCGACAGTCTTCGCTCAGCTCCATCCAAAAACGGATTGCTGGCATGCGCTGAATGTTTTGAGTTTGTACCTCGTTCGATTCAAGAGCGTACGTTGCTTAGTAGTTCTCATCCTGAGATGCTTGACGTTCTTTTACGTCGGTCTGTTTGTGAAAAGAAGTTCTTACGCGATATGGCACTTTTTGCAATGCAAAAACTTGCAACGCACCTCGCTGGACTCCCGCTTTTAACTGCAGTAGCTCGATATGGAACCAACAAGAATGGCAAGTTGTGTGGCTCGGCTGCAAAGCTCATTGCACTAAGTCTTGAATGTTTAGTTCAAACTTATCACGCGATTTCGTATAAAACCAATGGGTCTTTTAAAACTACTTTTCGAGCTTTAGCAGCCTTTCGAGAGAGCAAAGATGCAAGCGCACGATTCGAGGCAACAAGAAGTTTGCAACTTCTGTGTGCAGTGCTAGGCGCCAAAACGTTTGAATTAGGCTTGAAAGACGCTTTATCTGGACCTAATCAAGCAGGAATTGTTGCACGCATTCTTAAAGATGCTTGCACTGCTGCTAGCGTAACAAGACCCCGCGCTCAGATGAGATCGCTACGAGACCGCGTACAACAGGATTCAAATGCGCGCACAGGAATATTGACAAATTGTTACTGACATTTAAAGCACAATGAAAACTGCTGGTATCTTTGTTTATAAGCTTGTTTATCTGCTTTAACTTCCTGTAATTACTGCACATCAGCAACGCCAATGAGAATTTCCCGGCCAAGATCGTCCGAGAGCTTGTCGCCACTAATGACGACGACACGGTCACCTGACGAGAGCCACCCCATCTTCTTGGCGTGGGAAATAGCTTCTGCAGTGGTAGGAGCACGGTTGACGTTGTCTGGGACAACAGGGTAAAGCCCACGATGGATTTGGAGCTGTCGGCCAACTTTTAAATCCGTTGTAAAGCACATAACCGGCACCGTTGGTTTATACTTTGCCACCTTGCGAGCCGTGTAACCTGTGCGCGTGAGCACAATGAGGAGCTGAGCATGCATTTCATTAGCAGTTTTAACAGCCGAAGAAACAGCCGACTCGACGTCTGATGTCGGTGAATCGAATTGGAACTTGGCCTGGTAGGTAGGATTCAGAAGGAGCTCATCTGCCTCCTTTATGACCGTGTTCATAGTAGCCACAGATTCGACAGGGTACTTGCCCTGGGCCGACTCACCACTGAGCATAACACAGTCAGCACCATCTAATACAGCGTTACCGACATCCGACACCTCGGCACGAGTAGGTCGTGGGTTGTTTTGCATGGACTCGAGCATTTGCGTGGCAACGATAATGGGCTTACCAACAGCGTTGCAGCGATCAACCATCATCTTTTGATACGTTAACACTTTCTGAGCAGGAACTTCGACGCCCAAGTCGCCCCGAGCACACATAATGCCGTCTGAGGCTTCAAGAATCTCCTCAAAATTCTGAACACCTTCCAAATTTTCAATTTTCGATATAATCTTCGGCGCAATATAATTAGGATGGCTGGTCCAGTGTCTCTTGACACATTCGTCCACAAAACGACGGATCTCAATCACGTCACTGGCTTTACGAATAAAAGAAGCTGCGATAAAATCAATATCGTGTTTTACCCCCCAATCTAGATCGCGTTTATCTTTCTCAGACAAAGCGGGCAACTCGACAACTAAACCGGGTAAGTTTACACCCTTCCGATTACCGATCTCTTCGGTATTGTGAATATGACACGTAATTTCCCCTTTACCCACAGAAGTGCAGGTTAAACGAATCAAACCGTCCGATAGCAAAACCGTATCTCCCACCTTAACGGTTTCCGATAATTTCTGATACGAAACAAAGAATTTGTCTGCTGTCCCTTGATTCTCGAAAGCTGGGTCAGTCGTTACCACCACCGACTTGCCCTTTTCTAACTTGATTTTCTTGCCATCACGCACTTTACCTGTCCGTATTTCAGGTCCTTTTGTATCATGAAGTACTGCTCGGAGATTAAATTTAGCCATCCCTTCAGCATGCACTCCACGACAAGCTCGAAGGTTCTTGATTCGCTGTAAGGCCTCGTCGTATTCGGCGTGAGAAAAGTTGATGCGCATGATACGCAATCCCTCATCCGTAAGATTCTGAAGCATTTCGAGCTGTTCAGATGCCGGACCAACAGTAGCCACAATTTTAGTCATGCTGAACTTGGAGCTACGTGGGTTCTTGTATAGCTCTGAGGCAGAAGCGAAGCTGCGTACTGAGGGTACGGAACGGAAAGTCAGACGACGCAGCATGATGATGAAGATTGGGGCTACTGTTCATACAAACAAGCATGATTAATATAACAATAAGTAGTTAGTTTAGGCAGTGAGACTAGCTACCAGACGACGTGGAGGCTGCTTTGAGTGTGGGGGAAAGATTTAATTTTGGTGCTTGGTAATTGGGATATAATATTTATCACCGACTACCAGAATACTATTACTAATATTGTGAGCGCTGAAATAGTAATTCACAAATTTATCAACATAAACTTCAGCAGCCTGAAATTATGAAGCTAAGATAATGTTCTAAGCTAAATCTGAAGTTGGCTTTAACATGAATTAGAAATGTCGCAAAATATCTTGTCCTGTAAATTTGTACCATACTTTTTTCCTTCGTTAGTACTAAATTTTATAGCTGTCTTCATTTGTTCTGCGATATTCAAGTACTATATACTTCGTACTTCGTTAGCGCATGAATGCGCTGCTGTAGCTGCTTTTTATATTTTGGGTACGTTCTGTTGTGCATCACTACCAATTTGTGTCGGGCGGGATTACTGTTTTATACAGATAATCTGAATTTGCAAAATACTCACGTCCTCCATCCGTCGCATGTTTTAGCATTGCCGAATAGTAGTCCTACTTAATTCAAGTATACTAAACATTCTTGACTACTACATACGCTGCCAAAAACATCAAGTGAGCTTATTCCTACATAAGCAGATATATATCATATATATCATAATCGCGGTTATAGTAAATGGTCTTGTTTTCATTGTCACGCGTCTGTGCATCGAATATACATAATCAGAGCCAACAATGAGGAGTGTGCGCTGGACAAGATTTTGGGGTTTTATAAGTATCCAAGTAGAGGCATAAAGAGTTGCTGAAAGATAAAAATTGCGCTACAGCACAGCGCACAACAGATAACATCAGTGGTAAAGTTTCATGTATTTGTCGGTGCACTGCGTCGTAGAGCACAACTGCACAACAACACATAACCACATTATAAGAAACTTAGCAAAAAAAAGACACAGGAATACTACTTAACTAACTGCAGCGAGCAGTCTTACTGGAACTTGATCTGTCGCTAATCCACGGCTTAATCGTCAAGAAATATAGCCCATTTAATTATAAGTTCATATTTTAATTTCACTTTATTTCAAATAATTGCACACTTTATGACATAGCTACAAATACTTGTGGTATACATCTCAAAAGACAGCTTCAATATATATTTGAATAAAAACAAATTTTGTTGATTACTGTAGCACAAAATGCATTAAGCAATTTCAGAAAAAGAATTTTTTTAAAGGACTTATAAATTACCGATACCAAAAGAAATGCAAAAAGATTCATCTCCCTCCTAGTTCATCTTAGCGCCATCTACGTGGTACAAGTGAAATCGACCGTCGGATCACTACTTTTAGAAGTGCTCCAACTCGGTCGCTTCGTTGTCCAGGCCCAATGATGTATTTGGGGATAGGACTCGCTGTCATTGTCCGAATCCTCTGAAAAAGAATACTGGGATCCCTTCGATGAAGTGACATCAGACAAACACGAAAAACAGAATATTACCTTTTTGGTTGTCACTTTGGCGCCCACACTTGGCACCTTAAGCTTCTTCTCAATCTTACACGCACTGCAAATAGATCCACTGCACACTATACACGTATTTTGGCGACGTGCAAGTTTATGCATCCGCCCTCTACGCTTGAAACAAGTGACACAATAATGGTCAGACCCTGAAAGTCGTTGCGCGTTCTGCTCCGAATGACGTTGACTCAAGGTTCTTGCAAAACTTTTAACCTTTTCCATCGATGACTCGGATGTAGGTCTGAATGTCGATTGAAGCATTTTGATGAAGCGAGGAACAACAAATTGGCGAACTCGTTCACTCATGGGCTCAAGAATTGCAAGCGAATGTGTGAATAGACTTTGATTTACTTGACGAAAGAACGTGCAGATCGAGAGCTCAGAACGCACGCGTCCGGGCAAAATAGTTGCTCCTGGAATTCCTACAGAGTGCATGATATGATAACCCAGAGATTCGCCACTTGGCAAATTCTTGATGCCTGTTGCCTCGATGTACACAAAGTCTCGATTTTTGACCATACCCATCGACCGACGACGCACATCCAGCTCCATCCATTTGATGGCAACACCTGCAAATGGTTCTAGTGGATTTGGCGCTTTAATACGTACAAGTTCAGCAGCGGAGCTAGAGTCGTTGATGTTTAAGTCTTTTACACCATTTGCAGACTTTGAGACGCCGTCCATCATTTCGTTTAATGTGCCTGGCGATGAACCGACACAAAGTAAAGTCTGCAACTCACGGTCGTCATCCACTCGGACAGTAAGGGGCCATTGACGTTGATCGCGTCGGTTACTGTACACTTGCATATCGTCCTTGCCTTTAATGAGTTTCCATGAATTTAGATCGACCCCAGTAAAATTCAAGTAACGCTTCAAATTTGCGTCAAGAATTGTCTGTACAAGCTCCTGTAGCTTGCCATGGTCGGTAGATGACAGCAATATCTTTGGAAATGGACTTGTCCAAACTCCCCAACCAGTCATGTTCACGAGGCTTGTTTAGGATTCTTTTTAATGTTAAATGAGCATTGCAATGAGTGGCTCAGTTCGCCACTCGCGGAGATATGCGGTCAAAATATACGGCGTGTCGGACCAAAAACAATGGCTTCCTCAACCCAAGTGACAAAAACTACCGTCCGTGTGTTTTGCACAATTGCACAAAAGCGTGACGTTTACGTAGATTCTGATCAGGTACGTACCCCATTACAAATGAAGAAAAAGTGATGTTCACTCCATAGCCTTAAGACTGGGGTGGATGTGTCTAGCTAAAACAAGATTGCGAATAAATACACTGCAGTGAGGTAGGTCCCAGGCTTCCTCCAAGTCATCCCTCCATCCTCGATTACCTTCCAAGCCTAAAATACAATATGGAGTATGTAGAAAATGTTTTCGCGTTTGGAAGCAAAGACTATACTTTATTAAGGAATAAGGCATACATTACTCTAGCTGAAAAGTATCGCCTGTTGAGACAGTAATCATTAATCAGAATCCTCTTCTCTTATCAACGTGCTCTATTTTACACACATACAAATTGAATATGCAAAAATGAATGGCGCCGTATCAATCCGTTTCAAATTTTGTGCAATTGTGCACAACTTAGACTTACAATGTACAGGTACCGACGACGACTATTTATGAGTGATGTTCGTTATTGTAAATCCCACATATCGTTCTATTATTGCATATAAAAACAGAAAGTTTTAATAATAATTTTGGATATATTTCAACCAATCACTTCTGAAGTTGATACAAATAGAGAAGTTTTGAGGGGTTCATGGTTCTACTCCAGAATCAAAAGCGAACGAACCAGCCTCTACGTTCAAGTCGTCAAGAGGGAAGAGGAGATGACGGAAACCTGGATTCTCAACGACGCCATGGCACTAAAGACTATTGCCCAGGGTATCGAGCTACAGCACCAGGCCAAGAATCAGATTGCGTCGACGGCTATGCACGCTTGGAGCAATCTGAGGAGAATTCTACAATCGTACCCAACTTCACAACCGTGTCGAGATGACGTGCCGTCTGCATGAGTTTAAGATGGAGAGTAGATCGACTATGTCCAAGCACCTTGGATGCGTTTGACAGAATTGTTGTTGGACTTCAATCATTTGGAGAGCCTGGTGACGAATTGTGACATCTAGTGGTACTGCTGAGCAGCCTCCCGACAGATTTTGAGCTGATTGTGCTGTTTGCGAGGACATCACGTTAATCAAGGTCAAGGAGAAGCTGTTGAATGAGCATTAGCGGTTGCAAAAGAAGCAGACGATGGAGAAAGCGTTTTTTCTAATTACGAAAGCGGTGGGTGGTTTAGAAGCAATCGTGGCCCTGGACGAAAAGATTACGGTCCAAGGAAGAGTAAAGGTGGCTTCAAGGGAAATACTGCAGTGTAATCGAGCTGGACACATGAAGCGATGACATTGATGATGACGCGGTTTTCGCTGTTGACGAAAATCGGATTGATGGATGGCTGATCGATAGCGGTGCGACATCGCATATGACACCATACCGTGAAGACCTTTTTGATTCTGATGATACGACCTTGGACATCAATGTGATCGTTGCAGTCGTAAAGAAGTTGCGTGCTCTTGGAAAAATAATTGTAAAGCTGACTGGGATGGACGGGAAGCACGTCAGGATGCTAGATGTCATGTACATTGCAATCCCTCGATAGACGGCTGCTATCGATTGAAAAACTTGCAGAATGTGGTCTACGTGTTTCAGCAATTTTCATGTGTTTTCGAAGGCAAGAACCAGACTTTATCTCTGAGCAAAAAGGTCAGCAAGCTTTCGTCCTTGATTGCAAGCTTGAAGAAGCGCGCTTTGTGGGGTACGCCGGTGATGACAATCAATAGGAACTGTGGCACGGACGCATGAGGCACTTAAGCGAGTGCGGTATGGTCAAAACCCAGCATGTCAAGCATGGTATGCCAGCTTTACGCCGTGGTATTAAAAATATATGCAGTGGTCGTGTGAAGGGTAAGCAAAACGTATCGCCGTTTCCTTCACAATCCATTTTCAAGACTTCGCGTGTTTTTGAGTGAGTTCAGACGGATGTGATGGGACCCATGCAAACGGTATTTCAAGGAGGAGCAAGATATGTACTAATATTTGTGAATGCACGTTTCATGGCTGCTTACCGCCTGAAGAGTAAGAGAAAGGTCGTCGCGAGCTCGCTCAATCAAAGGCATCTCGAAAAGCAATGAGGAGAGCAAAATAAACGTATTCGCTCTGACAATGAAACTGAATTCGTGAACAAGAAGGTCACAGCTATGTGCTTCTGGGATTGTATCAGCGATTTGTACCTTACAGCCCTAGCAAAACGGGGTAGCGGAATGAATGAATCGCACCAACATGGAATAGGCAAGAAGAATGCTTCATTACAAGGTTATGTCAATGATTTGGCGGGTGGAAGCTGTAAGCACTGTAGTAAATTAGATTTATATATTTGTGAGCACCAAACGAAGGTGCATAACTTCGTCCAAAGTAAGTATTAAGCAGAAACCACGAGTGAACCACTGCGTGTGTTTTGGTCCCAGGGGTATGCTCACGTTGATAGCGCTAAAAGGATGAAGCTCGACCCTAAGAGCTACAAGCATATGCTCCTTGGATATGCTGGAAATATTGTGTACATGATTTGAGAGCATAACAAATCATGATAACACCATCCGTTCAGCTTGATGATCGTCACAACGGTGTGGCTTCACCGAAACAAGAAGTCACTACGTGGCGGGACTGCCAGTAGTTACGCATGTTAATCAGTTCTTTATATATAATTAGGAAAACCGAAGGATTTAGATCTAGGCGGCTCTGCCACAAATAAAACAGTTAAAAACTGTTTCAATTTTGAACGGGAAAGTGTATTTGCCTTGGGTTAATGTTTTGGGTACTCTTGGAGGTAGTGAATCGCGATCCGCTACACTCATACTGGTTCTAGTATAGATCGAAGACCTCAGCATACCTTCCTCTAAGCAAAGAGCTACGGCAGTCGTGCTAGTCTTTTCCGGAGGATAACGTGCCACTCCACGCACATCAGAAGGGCCTTGCCCATGATGCCTTGGACATCGTCTGACCATGCCACTCTTGGTATAATTGCTTCGAAACATGAGCAGTGCTCAGGAATTTACGTGCCAATCTACGCACATTATTAGGGCCTCACCCACAAGGCCTCAGATTCGTGCGACCATGCCACTCTTGGCATGCAGCAACTGCTTTGATACTTAAGCAGCGCTCAGTGAATTACGTACCACTCCACTTTCAGCCCCGAGCCATGCTCGGGACTCCTGTCCAATACATCTTTGGTGTTCGATAACCATATACTTCGATATCCAGCACATTGACCGTCCCGGTCCATCGCCCGCGCCAATCAAGCTTTTGCTTCCAAGCAGAGGTGGGTTCATGACTCACCAAAGCTCCAACAAAAGACGTGCGCGTAGCGTCCAAGGTCTCCCAAGCAAGCCATGGTTCATGGTGTTCCAACCATTCCATACCAAGGATAAGGTCATACCTTACATCCAAGTTTAAGACTCAGCAGCGTTTCTCGATATTGAAGACAAAATGCTTGACACCGAGATCCACAGTGACCCTTGGAACAGTGTCATAAGTCACCGTCGCTAAGCGAACAATGACGGTGTTACTCAACCGCGCTTTAAGCGCCTCAGCATACAGCTGACTTTCTTCGATCGTGGTGCGTAGAGCATGATTACCTGACGCCTCAGAATCGATCAGAATCTTCCATGGCTTCACAAAGCTCTTCACGGTCGCTTTTACGAGCAGCAAGCCTGACTTGTATACACGTTCCGTGTATACGAGCACGGCGCTCTTCGGGGCTGGGCCCTGCTGCCCTAAACCTATTTGAGGCACAATGAGACTCAATTCTACCCCAGTAGGGCGCCCCGCGCTTACTGTGTG